GGGGGGGGGGGGGAGGGGACACCGTAGCGGCATCCCCCCAACTGGGCCCTTAGCGGGGACATCAGGAGGGGGCCCAGGTGCTCGAAGGAACGATTGGAAAGCTCCGAAAGTATTGAGGGAGTTAGAGAACCTTCATGCCCCCCCCCCTCCATTCTCCAAGACCTGGAAGCCGGCGCAAAGACTAGAAAACGCGTGCCTTTTACCTCGGGATGGGCGTAGAGGGAGTCCTGCCACCTACTCGACGCGTCCTGCAAATACATCCCCTCCCCCCCCCTCTCGCCGCTCCTCTTGCGTCGATTCCACAACAAAAATACTCGTAATCCGAATGACATTGCCGAGCCCGGCATTATGCGCGCTACGGAGGAGGCCCTGACCGAGCCGCTCGTAAAGCCTTGTCTCATCCTCAATAACAAATCGGACGGCATGCGGCCGGGACGGAGCCGTGGCAGTATTGTGCGCCCGGAGCATCACAAGCGGCGGTGCCCGGCCGTCCAGCCTTGCGTCCAGTACATGCCAAACAGGACGAGGTCGTTCACATGAAGCGCCGCCTCCCCGCGCAGCCCGCGCCCCCCGCCGCCGGCCCGGCGAAGCGACACGCATCACGCATTCCGGTTTACAAGATTTTTCAAACCGTCTTCAACAGTCTTCATCGCGACGGCGGCACTCTCGGGAGTCGCCTGTCACCCACGGCGAGAGCGACGAGCCGCCCGCCCCGGGCCGGGTAGGCGGCGGCCGGCGGCGGGCGCAGCAAGCAAAAACGGCTCAACGACCGACGCAGTGGAGCGAACCACACCGACCAAACTACAACTACCAGATGAGCCGGTTCGTTATTTGACAGCCATCAACATAACGGAACTCCGCACGATTTTGTCGGGAGCACCGTTATGTATTAGCGACACATTTTCTTTGAAAACCAAGACCAAAGAGCAACAAAGCCCGTCGTCTATGCGAAATAAAAATAAAGATGATGTGTTCAGATCCCTCGGACACAATTTGTGCGGCGTCCAGAAAATAAAAAGAGTATACAAAACATGCTGGTGCTGGTGGTGGTTGGGGTGTCTCTGAACCTACTCACCTGACTGCCCGGTGCGTGTGTTGCTGGTCCGGCCGCACTGCCCAGACTGAGCGAGACGTTATCTCTGCGCGCGTTTATACTCCGGGAGTCGCCTCGCCTCCCCCTCCCCCCTCTCGTCGCACTCCCCCTCTGCCGACCAGGCAGTTGGCAACCCTTCCTCACGCCACGGACACAACGGAATCCAAATGAGAAAGGAGAACATTCAAAATGTACCGATACAAAAATGTTCAATCTATTTTTTGCTTCAAGGCACGTTGAGAATTTATGCATGCGAGGAGACGCCTGTGAAAGAGAGTGGCCACTTTTCCGCTGTATCGTACTCTTCGTGCATCAGAGATTGTCCCAGGAGCACCTTTTACAGGCATTACTAGCGGGAAAGACGTTAGGAATCTCGTTTTCCTAAACCAAAGATTAAGTCCACTGCCAACGCAAATTTTGTATGTGTTCCTTGATCTTTTAGGAACACATCAATGTTTACCCTTTCTCCACTGACAATATTAGCAAACTCATAATTAAAAGCAGATGGAATAATCTTTTCGGACAGCGAAACGGATAGGATTGTCTTTCGGGGTGGCGAAATAGCTAGGATAGTCTTTGCGGCGGCCGAACAGAAGTACATATAATGATAATTCCACTGGCCCGTCGTTTTGGAGTCCCCTCTCGCACAGGCTCTGCTCTTTGTAAACCCGCGTCGTACCAAAAGTGGCAAACCGTTCTGTGTGTCACGTTAAGTAAATGAAATTCGTTCGGGCTCTATGAGGGACCAAACCCATACTACGTAGGGCCCCGTGCGTTAACATTGTGCACGGGGTAGCTGAGCGAAGTGCATTAACTTTACAGAAGACATAAAAAATATAGAACAAAACTATACCGAATGAGGGTCCGCCTAGTAGGTAGGCAACCGGTCGTCTGCTCCTTGAACGTGAGAGATAGGGGGGGG